TGACGATAATTGAGCTGTATGATATTTCAAACAGAATTGGTTTCAGGTTACCAAAAAAAAATTAACTTGCTAAAAAATTTTAACTTAATTAATTTATTAAAATATGTATTGCAATTATAATAATGAAATATATAGTTTTTTTTTTTAATAACAATAAGATTAATTATATATACAAAATTAATTGAAGGAAATGAATAAACTTTTAATTTTAATAAATGCTAACTATTGTCAAAGTTAAAAAAAATTCTGACTATAGTATTTAGAAAAACTATAAAAATAGCAAATTGAGGTTCTTGTATGAATATACAAGCAAATTATACAATACTACTAGCCTCACAACAAATTAAACAGATAAAGAACTAAAAAAAATATTTTCCAAATAATCAGACACAAAATCCCTTTCTTTTTTCAAACAGACCCAAATTTAAAAAAAAATTTACAAAAATCCTAAAACAATGAGATAAAATAATACACTATTGTAGTGAGATGAATATAATACACTAGCTAATTATAAAATACTACTATAACAAAAAAAAAAATCTTCCCTATTTAATATACCCCTTCCCGTTCCAAGCAGACCCTCTTCCCCAAAAAAAAAATTCCCCCTTTCCGTTCCAAGCAGACCCTCTTCCAAAAAAAAATTTCCCTTTTCCGTTCCAAGCAGACCCTCCCCAAAAATAAATCCTTACAGTGATCTGGCGATGGTATGGGCGGCTTCGCGGGTTGGCGACGCGGGTCGGAAGGTCAGTCGCTAGTCGGACGGTGACTGGGGTTGGCGACGCGGGTCGGACGGTGACTGGGGTTGGTGACGCGGGTGTAGGGCGGTGACAGTGTAGGGCGGCGATTCGGCTTCCTCGGCAAGCTCAGTGTCCTAGAGGAGGAGATGTTGGAAGAAAGTTGTGATTTGGGAATTTGGTGGTGGGAAGAAAGCTGTGATTTGGGGATCTATGGCTCTGATACCAGTGAAAGAAAGATGGGGATTAATTTGGGGACTCCGGTGAAGATTTGTCTTTTGAGATAATTCAGAGGTGAGGTATTCCTCTCTATATATAGGCTTTCTAATCCCCTTCTCCGTCCCCAAATTCCTGCCTGATTTTCCTCCGTTATTTACGTTTTCCTCATATTTCTCCGTAACGTTTGCTGTTGATTAGAGAATATCCCATAGAATATGAGATATTCCCTAACAGCCAGATCACGTAAACAACGGTCGGGTAATAATTTCGGCCCATGAGGCCAAATCCACTTACAGAATTGTTGTTGTTTTTTTTTTGTGTGTAATGCCTATGATAATTCAAAGGCTAATGTAATTTCTGTGATAAGTTTGTGTGCAATTATCTTGTTGCAATTCACATATGATTGTCTTCCTAGAATGGATTAATTACAAGCTGGTATCTTTGACTTATGACGCAACTACACTAGTGATCTTGGAATCTACGTATCTATAAGGTTACTGATTGTATATACAAGAATAATTTACAGGGATAACCTTGATAGTTGCTTGTTATCCTGGCTACAGGTGGTATAATTTGCAGCGATAACCTTGATAGTTGCTTGTTATCCTGGCTACAAGGTCATCCGTGTAATTACAATTACGATCCTAGGATCAACGGTGTAATTAAATAAGCAACTCCTTCCACGTAGTTATATGATACCTCAGGGTACTGGAATGTAATTAATCATATGAGAGTAGAGATGCATATAGTCTATATAGATAAAAGATAAGTAACATAAGTACTACCCAATATAAATTCTACTTATGTTAAGTGATCGATTGATGCCAAAGCGTCATGTGAGCCTAATAAATAGTTTCTTTAACTCACAGGTATCGCAATAAATATAATTCCTTTTTATGGTGCATTTTTGAATCATGATTGTACATGGCAAAAAGTGAACCCGTAATCTCTCAAGACTAGTATAATTTTTTCTATTTCATTCTTTTGAGGGGTATTTGTACAAATATTTTCAAATTAAGAGGGATGTCTCAACTAAGGTTTCAAAAGAAATACATCCTTGATCAAACCATCAATACTAAATGTTTCCATATTTCCTAATCCATTTTCGGATGAGGGTTAACAAACCGGTCCAACCCTACTTTGAGTTTTCCCATCCATCATTTAAAAGTCAAAATTCTTAAATTGAAAATTCACATCACTCAGTGTGGTGCAATTAACGTGAACTCTAATCATTTAAAAAAATTCCTAATGTTTTTCTAGGTCTAAATCACGTATTAAGGAGTAAAAATTAATCAGTTTTATCAAAATTCAAAAATGTTTATTTTGACAATATATGGAACATGGTTAAAGCACAACATAATTACTCAAGAGTTTTATTTCCAAACAATCTTTCAATTTAAAATTCCAAATTTTAAATTTGAAACTCATTTTTGATAATACTTATAGTAACCTAATTCAAGTTACAGCTGCTCCACATTAATTTTTCTAAATTCTATGTTCTTCCCAAGCTCAAATCTGTTGGGTTCATTTGCAATTTTGTTTATGACGGGCGTTTTGTATAAGGTTTTATTTTTGTCTTTAGATCTAAAGGCTTACTATAATTTACGATTAAACCCAGTTACTTTTCTCTGTATTTTTAGAACTCAATCAACTTTATGCATTTATATCTTTTAACCCAAATTGTCAAATACACTTTATAGTTAAGTGGTCCCCCCTAAAAATTTTTCCAAAAAAAGGAAAAAACTGACTTTACCCTTCTTTTTTTTTCTCATTTAATTCTCTCTCTCTTTCTTTGCTCTCTTAAAAAACCTGCATGCGGATTAATTTGGAATGCTTTCAAAAAATTTCTTCACCAGCACTTTCCTAATTGAGCAAAATCTCCCCATTTTCGATAATTGTCTAAAATCAAAGGGATGAAAGGAAGAAGATAAGGAGTCTAAATGGGTTTGGGCTTGTGATTAACAGGATTGATAGTAGAACAAATTTTTGATTTAAACCCATTTCAACTTTTTATTTTACAAACCGACCAACTTTTTTTTATTTAGCGGAATCGACCCACTTCTCGGCCACGTCAGCAGCGTGGCCGAGAAGCGGGTCGATTTTTTTTTAATCTCATCACTAAATAGTCGGGGTTGGCAACCCCGACTATTTTTTCAGTAGAAAAAATAGTCGGGGTTGGCAACCCCGACTATTTAGTGATGAGATTAAAAAAAAATCGACCCGCTTCTCGGCCACGCTGCTGACGTGGCCGAGAAGTGGGTCGATTCCGCTAAATAAAAAGAGGGTCGGTCGATTCCGGTAAAAAAAAAAGGGAATGGGTTTAAATCAAAAATTTGTTCTTGATAGTAATGCATTTGGGTTTATAATCAAAGGGCTATAAAGGGTCAATCCATTCAAAAACGTTAGAGTTAACGGAATATTCCGCTAAAGTTATAACACCAACTAACTATAGTACTAATATCGGCACACTAATGATTTTAAAGGGACAAATATCATAATAGAAAAAAATTTCAAAAGAGACTCAAACAAAGTTTTAATTTTCAAAACCGACTCACTTTTTTTTATACAAAAGCGACCCACTTTTTGTCACGTCAGTTTAATCTCATTTTCTAATTAGTCGGGGTTGCAAACCCCGACTATTTATGGCATAAAAATCGGGTTTAAGGCTTCTAATTTGGGTTTAACAACCTCCTAAACAGTCGGGGTTGGCAACCCCGACTGTTTAGGAATGAGATTAAGGTGGCGTGGCAAAAAGTTGGTCGATTTTTGTAAAAAAAAGAGTCGATTTTGAAAATTAAAACTTGTGATGAGTCTGTTTTAAAAATTTCTTCTATCATAATATGAAGATTTGAGGGCCTAATATCAAAACACTAATAATTTAAGAGAAAACCCTATCGTATAAACTGCTCGGCCACATATTTAGATGCAGCCACGCGGCAAATATGGTTAAGTGCTCGCTTAGGATACTGCCATGTGGACCGATAGTTATTTACTTCCTGCGGGCTTACCATTCGGCTGCCTTCAAGTAAAATCTTAACTAGTATGTACCCCGTGCAAAGAACAACAACTAATTTTTTTTATCATTGTATTTTTAATTTGCGTCTCTCTAAGTTTTAATACATTTGATTTGATTATTGTACACTTAAAATTTAAAACCATAAATTATATAAAAATATATGTTACAAAAAACATTATAATCTAATGCTTATACATTCTTGCTCTAAAGAATATAAGACCAACTCTAAATTTCCTATTTTAAAAAATCTAAAATTTAATATATTACTAAATTAGCTAAATATCTCTTTCCAAAGTTTTGGCAATGGCAAAATTTTGCAGCCAATTACTATTCAAGAGGTCAATTTATTTTGTATCTCGACGGAGGGTTATTTTGGAAAAGTAAAGGAGCTTAAATTGGTCTTGCTATTATCTATTTCTTCATATGACATTTTTCTTGTTGTTCTACAAAAGGAAGTAAGTCTTTATATTTACAAATTATCTTTTAAGTTAAAATTCCTATGCAAATTATTAATAGTTATTTATAAACTGTCTCATTGTTGTTGTTCACATTTTAGTCTTATTAATAGAATTTATTGCAAATATTACTTATCTAAATATTTATTTACAAATGCTATCCATATAAATAGCTAAGAGAGGAATCTAGGGTTAGGGTTTTCAGCTCTTTGTTTCTATCAGCCTCCTCCTCCTCCAGATCTGAGGCTCCTCTCTCCTCTCTGTATCTCCCCCCTCCTTCAGATCTAACTCCAAGTAGATGGGCTCCTCTCTCTCTCTCCTCCTACAGATCTGTGACTCCAAGTGGATTCTAGAGCTCGGGTTTTGACTGTTCATCCTCGAAGCTGGTTGCTCACTCCTCCCTCAAAGCTCGTCGTCGAATCCTGCGTCGAAGCTCGTCATCCCTCGAATCTCGTCGTCGACTCCTCCCTCGAATTTCGTCGGATTTTTTGTCGGCTTTGGGGAATTCACTGCCTTTCTTGGGGGATTTCGTCGGATTTTACTTGATTTGTTGGATTTCGGCAATTACAGGTATAATTTCTCCATGATATTCCCTTTCTTCGAATAGTTGATGAATAATTTGATATCAAAAAACATGAAATTTTGTTAATCGATTGTTTCCATATTTTTGGTATTTTTTATGCTTAATTTCATGCTAGATTCGTTAAGTTTGGTCAATCTATCTCATCTCACGAATTATGAACCCTAGATTTGGTGGCTCTTTATTCTTTTTCCCCCCACAAATATAGCTAAATGGAATAATCTACATTGGAATAAATTTCGACACATACAGTTAAATGAATTAATCTAATTTATTAAGTTTTAAGCAGTCTATATTTTCTCATGAACCTTATGAGTTTAATGTTATAAGTTCAATGTTATAAATAAAATTAACTTTTTATAAGTCGATGTTCTTCCTCTCTTAGAATCCTATTGAATGGATGCACTAATTTGGTGAAATCTGTAAATAAAAATTGGAAATATATATAAATTGCCTATAAGTTGCTCATTTAAATTGCTTGCTTGAAATGAGCGTTGTTAGTCCAATTTGAAGTCTTAACTAACTCTCTTTTGTGTCTTTTCTTCATACTAAGGCAGGGAATTGCTTGAGTGAATTCTAGGCAGTAGAGATCTTCCTTCTTAACTGCTGCTCAAATGGCTATAAGAGGTGTGAACTTTACAAGAAAATTATCGCAAGGAAAGAATTGCATGCTTGAGTTAAAATGAAAGCTTGATTAGGTTGAAATTTATTTTTGAGGAAAAATTTACTTTTTAGTGATCAACGCTGATAAGTTTTGAATTAGTATATTTTAATTACTTTGTGTTGTTTCTGTGTCATAATCTTGGGGCATGGTTAATTTTTAAAAGACTTATCTTAGAGTGAAAATACTTATAATAATTGACTTGTCTTTATAGTCTTTCCATGGATTCAGATTATTTAAGAATTGTTCTCAATTTTTAGATATCCTAATAAGCTATATACATACTCTAATGCAAATGGTAATTTATTCCCACAAATATAGTTAAATGAAATAGTCTACATGGGAATAAATTACGACACATATAGTCAAATGAATTAATCTCATAATTAAAATTAAGTTTTAAGCATTCTATATTTTCTCATGAAGTTTATGAGTTTAATGTCATAAGTCGATGTTTTTCCTCTCTTAGAATCCTATTGAATGGATGCACTAATTTGGTGAAATCTGTAAATAAAAATTGGAAATATATATAAATTGCCTATAAGTTGCTCATTTAAATTGCCTATAACTTAGGGTGTTATCACTTTGTTTGATCAAAATTTGTCTTAACCTGCATGCAGATTAATTTGGAATGCTTTCAAAAAATTTCTTCACCAGCACTTTCCTAATTGAGCAAAATCTCCCCATTTCTGATAATTGTCGAAAATCAAAGGGGATGAAAGGAAGAAGATAAGGAGTCTAAATGGGTTTGGGTTTGTGATAGATAATGCGTTTGGGTTTATAATCAAAGGGCTATAAGGGTCAATCCACTAAAATACGTTTAAGAGTTAACGGAATATTCCTCTAAAGTTATAACACCAACTAACTATAGTACTAATATTAGCACACTAATGATTTTAAAGGGACCAATATCATAATATGAAGATTTGAGGGCCTAATATCAAAACGCTAATAATTTAAGGGACTAATATCGAAAAACCCCATTGTATAAACTGCTCGGCCACATATTCAGATGCAGCCACGCGACAAATATGGTTACGTGCTCGCTTAGGATACTGCTACTAGGATCGGCAGTTATTTACTTCCTGCGGGCCCACCATTCGGCTGCCTTCAAGTAAAATCCCAATTTCTCTGTCGTCGTCTCAATGCCGACATTTCAAATTTTAGGGTTTCTTAACATTGGAAAAATTGATGGTTCCCTCCATTTTTTCAAGGAAAGGGCAGAGTTTGAGTTAAAAAAAGTAGCCTTTTTTCTTCTCTACGCTGCGATTTGTGTTACTCCCTTCAAAAGAGGGCCGGGGTAAAATTTATGTTGCTCCCTTTGATTTGATTTATTATTGCCCAAATGGAGATCTCAACTGGGTTTGTTTCATAATTGTGGGATCTGAATTCAAATAAGCGGGATTGCTTGCATTTTGCTCTTGATTTTGTTTGTGATCTTCCTTTTCCTTTTTCTTTTTTTTATTTTAAATTTTTGCTTTTGTTTGTTTTTGTGTGCGTGGAATAATGGGTTTTGGGTATTAGCTCCAGATCTCAAAAGATTACAGATTGATATATTATTAGTATGCTTTGTTTAATTTGTCCCTAAAGCCTAACAAGCCGAGAGCTTTCGTAAAATTCCCAACATTCAAAGTTGCTCATTGGGGTTATTTATATGCAAATCATAAAATTTCCTTGTTTGTTTTCCTCTCTATTTTACTATATATTTTTGTAGGTATGACATTATGCTCGTTGATGTGCTCTCGTTTAGGTGATTATGTTCTTTTGTTTCATGACACTTTGCTCTCCAATATCCATGATTTTTTACTAACAAGTTTTGATTGCATCTCAGTTTCAGAAAAAGCATCAGAACGTCTTTCAATTGCTCTCCCTCATAGTATTCCTTTTACTGTCTTTTTCCCCTTCACATGATATACTAGTTTAAGTAATGATAGTTATGCGTTCTGTTAGCAATTTATATGGAAATTTTCTTCGTCTTTCTCTTGGTTGACACAAACAATATCTGGCCTTCCTTTTTTTTGTCTAGTTAGCGAATAAACTCCTGAAAATTATTTCATGTTATTCTGATGTACAGCTTGAGCAGATTTTCCCTTTACTTTGATAAACCTCTTCCCTTTTCGTTTTTAGTAGATTAAGTTTGTTGCTTAGTATTAAACTCCTACTCAAGGATAGTTGGAAGTTTCATACTTGTATTTTGCTTACCGCAAATGGTTCAACCTTTCAAACGTAACATTGAACAGTTGGCACATAGATATAATTGTGGGTTCACTTATTTGCATCACACATATATGCAAAAAGCTTATCGAATTTTTTTTCATGTTTTGCAAAAAGCTTATCGAATTTTTTTTCATGTTTTGGCACGTATTTAATTGGCTTCGGTACAGACTGTGTAACTATTATAGCATCACATGACACATACATTTAAATGGTACAAAGATATGAGAAATGCAATGCCCAATACATAGAGTGCGCCTCTTAAGATACTTTTTGATAATAGTAATTTTAAATATTTGAAACTAATATATCACACTGATAACTATCACTTCCTGCTCTATAAAATGTATTTAATTGAGAAAGCAGAAGGAACTAGAACAATTAATATATTGCAAAAGGGGGAAGAATGTTATGGTAAATACATTTTGTATGAATTTGAACATGAATGTCTTTTGAATATTATTGGAATATTTAATGCATTTTAGTTGATTAATATTCTTTGCATTTTAATATTTTAATATTCTATAATTTATAAATGTAACTATTTAATTAAGAATATATTTGTATTTTTGTTAGTTAAAAGATACTTTCATCTAAGTAAAAATTTGGTCTCTTATATATCAGTTAAAGTTATAATTCAAAATTATGTCTTGATATAAATATAAATTTTTAATCTAAATATTTGGTTAAAATAATGATTTTGGAACCTTAAGTTAATTTGACATCGAATTAAGACTTAAAAATGCAACGAGGTTCACCAGACCCTGAAATATTGTAAATAATGTTTTAAATATCAGATATCAGATAAATATTGGATGGCCAAAATTCATACATGATCACAAAATTGGAGATATAACATGAATATGTAAAAAAAATCGGGGTCAGGTGTCATGTGGATGTTCATATATAACATAACAGCATAATATGTAACCTAAATATATTAATGAATTATATTTGGGAGACAATTTGTGGCTTTTATTGGTTTGGGTTTGGGTTTTATGGTATAATTTGATTGTGGATTCCCAAACCCGACACAAACCCAACCCACAATTAAAGTAAAAATAACGATTTTGCTTATATGTTCAAAGAGAAATATCGGCTAATAATTCCGATATAAGCTAATATACCAAAGAAAATCTCAAAAAAAAAATGAAAATGCTATTAAAGCATAAATATCATTACAATAAGGTCCTTAACCTGATAATAAAGCAATTTGTCGGCCAATATTTAACCCATTGGTTGTAAATCACTGGCTGTAATTTATAATCTGCCAAGAAACTATAATATATGTGTAGTGCAACGGCCTAAAACCCCATTCCTCTCTTGATTGCGAAAGCGACTCTCTCTCTCCCCCCACCCTCTCTTTGCCTCGACGAACGAACAACCCTTTCTCCCTCTTTCATTTCAAGAATTCAAGAAAACCCAACACAGAGAACAGATGTAATTAATTAATTTCTATGATGATCAAAGAATGCAATTAGAAAATATTTTCAACATTGGTTTTAAACTCTGCCCCCCCAACTCCTCCAGGCACAAAGTTATCGACTGTTTCATCAGCAAGAACCCAGTTCTATCTCTCAGGCATCATCTCTAGAAGAACCAAGGGGTAAGCTAACCTCTCTAATACTTCCTTGTTAATGTAGAGAGAATTTTCCTCTTCTTTGATTATCGAGGACATTCTTTTCTTCAATGCGCATAATATTACAATGTGCATATCATTTTTGCTTAATTACAATACAAGATTTCATAAGTCTGGGAAATGGGTTAGCACCCTAAAAGTTCTTTCTATTGCGGTGGTAATTTGCACTTCTTGTTCCGTTTATACGACGAACTGTTGAAAATTTGATGATTGTATTTCTTGTTAATTTGCATAGTATAGTAGTTGCTGAAGTTATTTAATGTGAAAAATTCTTAACTGTTTGAAAGTTTACATGTCATAAATGAGATGGGCGTTTCTTGTTTCTTGGTTTAATGTTTTCAATTACGTTTGTTAAAAAAATGTGATGTCTTGCTTAACATTATTATTTATATATGTAGCCCTTAAATCATTTTTGTTTGCATAAAATAAAAAAAAGATCATCAACTTCGTATCAGTTTGCATAAAATGTTTATAATTTTAAAATTTTCAAAAAATCACTGTAGTAAATGATTCTGTTTTTAGTTTTGGTACAGGGTTTCTGTTTAAGGCTGAATCTCATTCTATTGGCAAAAGAAATGTAAGATAGCCCTTAAATCATTTGTGTTTGCATAAAATAAAAAAAGATCATCAACTTCGTATCAGTTTGCATAAAATGTTTATAATTTTAAAATTTTCAAAAAAATCACTGTAGAACTATTGATCCTTTGGATGAGTAGAATGAAGTAAACAAATCGAAGATGGAAAATCGATGACTGCTGAGTATAAGCATGTAATGGACATATATCCTTGAAGTTCACAATTAAACTGAAAGTCATTTATACTACATAAAATGTTCAGGACTCAGGAAGAGACTTGTTCTCCTCAGTGTGAATCCAAAATGATAAACAACAATATCAACCATAAAAAGCCTTTGTTCTGGATTATTTCGGATAGATACATAAATTTATTTAGATTGATACATATCATTCTGTACAAATCTTTCGATTTTAGGCTTTAACTTCCTACAAATCAGCCCACTTCTACCTTGCCAAATAGCATAAATAGCACAAATGCAAGCAGCTAATGTTGCTCTCTTTGACTTTGCATCTACACATTTACTATCCGTTTCTTTGTGGCCCTAGGGATGAGTATATTTTAGACTTAATGTTGATCCCTTGTTCTCTATCAGATTGATCTGATGGATCCAAATAATGGAGCTCCTGCGGGCATACCCTAGCTGATAATAGAAGATCCAGATGTCGTTCGCCGGGTAATTGAAGTGGGCACGTCGGCCAGACCTCCTCGGCAGTATGCAGTCATTTAGGTAGAAAACCTATTACCTGATCTAATTTACGGTTTCTTCGCGGCTCATTACTACTGGACAATGGAGCCAGACGAGGCTACTGCCTAATGTCATCTTGTTGTAACCAGAACACTACGGAGGTATAACCAGAACGCGCACCCACTCACGTAACCTGGGTCCAAGGCCATGTGAGTGGGAGCACATTCTGGTTATACCTCCGTAGTTTTCTTGTCACAACCAGCTGGCCTTGGGAATTAATCACGTCTGGCTCCATTTTCCACTAGTAATGAGCCGCGAAGAAATGGTAAATTAGATCATTTGATGGGTTCTCTATCTGGATGACTTGATATTGCTGAAGAGGTTCGGTCGACGTGCACGCTTCAATTACCCGGAGAATGGCATTTGAATTTGCTATTATCAACAGGGGTTGCCCGCAGGAGCTCCATTATTTGGATCCATCAGGTCAATCTGATAGAGAACAAGGAATCAATATTGAGTCTAAAATGTACTCGTCCCTAGGGCCACAAAGAAACAGGTAGTAGAGGTGTAAATGCAAAGTTAAAGAGAGCAGCATTAGTTGCTTGCATTTGTGCTAGTTATGCTATTTGGCAAGGTAGAAGTGGGCTGATTTGTAAGAACTTAAAGCCTAAAATCAAACAAGGTAGAAGTGGGTTGATTTGTAGGAACTTAAAGCCTAAAATCGAAAGATTAATAGCACAAATGCAAGCAGCTAATGCTGCTCTCTTAACTTTGCATTTACACATCTACTATCCGTTTCTTTGTGGCCCTAGGAACGAGTAGATTTTAGACTCTTATGTTGATTCCTTGTTCTCTATCAGATTGACCCGATGGATCCAAATAATGGAGCTCCTGCGGGCAACCCCTGCTGATAATAGCAGATTCAAATGCCATTCGTCGGGTAATTGAAGTGGGCACGCCGGCCAGACCTCCTCAGCAGTATCAAGTCATTCAGATAGAGAACCCATCAGATGATCTAATTTATCATTTCTCCGCGGCTCATTACTACTGGAAAACGGAGCCCTACGTGACTAATCCCCAAGGCCAGCTGGTTGTGACCAGAAAACTACGGAGGTATAACTAGAACGCGCCCCCATTTCACGTAGTCGGGGTCTAGGTTTTCGAGAACGCACGGATTAACGTGCGTTGCTTGTAGCACAGGATGATTCAGATTGCTCCAGTCTGAACCTCTGTTACCCATCCACAAAGAGACGGTGCATGTCTTTGAGATTTGAACCTCTTATACTCATCCATCCTCATCCTCTCTCCTCTCAACTCCCATGAAACTAAATTTATTTCACAGGAGTTGAGAGGAGAGGATGAGGATGGATGAGGATGAGAAGTTCAGATCTCAAAGACATGCACCGTCTCACTATGGATTGGTAACCGAGGTTCAGACTGGAGCAATCTGAATCATCCTATGCTGCAAGCAACGCGCGTTAATCTGCACGTTCTCGAAAACCTGGATCCTGACTACGTGAAGTGGGGACGCGTTCTGGTTATACCTCCGTAGTTTTCTGGTGACAATGAGCTGACCTTGGGGATTAGTCACGTCTGACTCCGTTTTCCAGTAGTAATGAGCTGCGAAGAAATGGTAAATTAGATCATCTGATGGGTTCTCTATCTAGATGACTTGATATTGCTAAGGAGATCCGGCCGGCGTGCCCACTTCAATTACCCGGCGAATGGCATTTGAATCTGCTATTATCAGCAGGGGTTGCCCGCAGGAGCTTCATTATTTGGATCCATCGGGTCAATCTGATAGAGAACATGGGATCAACATTGAGTCTAAAATGTACGTCCCTAGGAACACAAAGAAATGGTAGTAGAGGTGTAATTTGTAGGAAGTTAAAAAGTGTAAAATGAAATGTATCGATCTAAATAAATTCATGTATCTATGCGAAATAATCCAGGACAAAGGCTTTTTATGGTTGATGTTGTTTATCATTTTGGATTCACACTGACCTGAACATTCTATGTAGTATAAATGACTTGCAGTTTAATTGTGAACATCAGGGATATATGTCCATTACATGCTTCTACTCAGCAGTCATCGATTTTCCATCTTCGATTCGTTTAATTCATTCTACTTATCGATAGTTCTGTGTTCTGAGCATGACAGTTTTACTTCGCATAGCGTAGATCATTATGTACATATTAAATGTGATTTTTATAATTTGTTTGTGATTCAATAGACATCCTATCTGATTTGAGAAAACTGATACATATCTTACATGATGAATGCTTTTGTACCTTTTGGTTTGCTTTATCTCTTACTTTTCTTTTGCCAATAGAAAGATTCAGCTTCAAATAGAAACCCTGTACCAAAACGGAATCATTTACTACAGTGAATTTTTAGAAATATTAAAAACATTTTATGCAAACTGATACGAAGTTGATGATCTTTTTTTATTTTATGCAAACACAAATGATTTAAGGGCTACATATATAAATAATAATGTTAAGCAAGACATGACATTTTTTTAACAAACGTAATTGAAAACATTAAAACAAGAAACACCCATCTCATTTATGACATGTAAACTTTCAAACAGTTAAGAATTTTTCACATTAAATAACTTCAGCTACTATACTATGCAAATTAACAAGAAATGCAATCATCAAATTTTCAACAGTTCATCATATAAACATAATAAGAAGTGCAAATTACCACCGCAATAGAAAGAACTTTTAGGGTGATAACCCATTTCCCAGACTTATGAAATCTTGTATTGTAATTAAGCAAAAATGATATGCACATTGTAATATTATGCGCATTGAAGAAAAGAATGTCCTCGATAATCAAAGAAGAGGAAAATTCTCTCTACATTAACAAGGCAGTATTAGAGAGGTTGGCTTACCCTTTGGTTCTTCTAGAGATGATGCCTGAGAGAGAGAACTGGGTTCTTGCTAATGAAACAGTTGGCCTGGAGGAGTTGGGGTGGGGGGGCAGAATTTAAATCCAATGTTGAATATTTTCTAATTGCATTTTTTGATCATCATAGAAATTAATTACTTCTTACCTTTGTTCGTGTTGGGTTTTCTTGAAATGAAGCAGAGGAGGGTGAAAGGGTTGTTCATTCGCAAATGGCAAATAGCTACAATAACCTTAACAGAAAAAAGGGAAAAAAGGAAGATTTAGCCTCTCTCTCTCTCAAGAATAGTAGTGTTACGCACCGGTAAAAAAGGAGGTTAAAGTTAAGTAGAGTAGGTTTTGTGAGATGCTCCAAAGTTCAGTGGAATTAAAATATTCATGGAGTAAGAGCTGAGGAGGTTTTGAGAATTAAAACAGTTGACAAGGGTTATCTACAACACCCCCAAAGTTAAAGAGGGGTTTGCTGAAATTAATCCTTTTGGCTTTAAACCACTATAAAAACCAATAAGAACAGGACAGTATGTACTGTAGCTATTGGATTAATTCGGTCTTGGGTTTCTTTTATTTCTTCAGATCCATCATCGGTAAGATCTCACTTTCAAATTTGCATAGTTGTTTAATAAGAACAGGACAGTATGCATGAATATGAAAAATCTGCGCATAGTTGTTTTCTTTCCTTGTCCAAATCTTGCTTAAAGATATCTCTTTCTCAATAAAATCCTATTACTGTTTACTTTTGATAAGGATTACAATTTGGAATAAAGACTTATGGTCATAATATAACAGATTTTTTAATTGTTTACTTTTGATAAGGAGTGTCCAGGCCTAGCTTGTTTATATGATGGTGTCATGCATCAAATTATTCTCCTCTGAATTCAACAGATATAACTTCTGCTCCATTTAAATTATCATCTCGCAACTCATCTCGCAACTTTTCAGTAAATTATCATCTCGCATCACTGTTATTGAGAGGTAATCTCAGAATCAGATCAAAAGAAGGAAGCATGAATATAAACAGCATGATAGTATAACTACCGACTTCATCACTTTTGAGATACTCACCAGACTCCCTGTAAAGGATCTGCTGAAGTGCAAATCCGTTTGCCAATCGTGGCATGCTTTGCTCTCTGAACCTACTTTCATAGCCGCGCATCTAAAGCGTACGAGGGAAAAACCCAAGCTCGTATTTGTAGCTCATAAACCCTTTTGTCGAGGAAGCTCCATGTATATGTATGAAGAAGGCAGGAAAAAATCGAGGTTCTTGTTCATGGAAAAATATTCTGCAGTGCAGTAGTATTTGTTCCCTCCTCATCACTGCGATGGTTTGCTGTTGCTCAACACTCAGACCCAATTGGTTGTATGCAATCCGAGCACTAAAGAGTCGGTAGCCTTACCTGCATTCAGACGCGACTGTGGTACACTGGAAGATGGTGCATCAAACTTTACGGCTGCTTCAGGATATGTTGAAAGTATGAACGTTTTATAAAGTAGCCTGGTATTTCTATTGTTCTCGCAATGTTGAAGAAAAAACATTGGACCTGGGCTTTGAGGTAATTACTCTAGTAACGACAGACTTTTCCTGGAGAGATATTACCCTATCTGATTGGAATTAGATGTTTGTCCCAAGCCTGTGGGTGAAGTTATCTATTTCAATATAGATAACAGACTCCACCAGGACTCTCCAAAAGCCTTGCTTTGCTTCAATTTCAAAGACGAAATGTTTAGAGGAGACGACCCTCCACATCCCCTTGGGTTCTCAGGGGCGTAATGGAAGTCGCCACCTCACGAGCTAACCTCAAAGAAAGTGATATGGACTGAATAATTCAATAATGGTAATTCGTTGACCATATATGTTCATTTGTACATGTATGGTATCAAAAAACATAAAAATATACCATCAAGATAGATGACACTTACCCAATCTATTACTGAACTGAATCCGATGGTTTCTCAGCCAACTCCCCTCTTTCCTTCCATAACTGGACTACCCTTCCTCAGCCAGGCTTGGGCAGAATAAATAATTGGGAAAAAAACTTTCTAGTTCACTCAGAAAAAAACTATTATTTTCAATATCGAAACTATTATTTTCGATATCAAAATATACCCAGACTCCTACGGGAGGCAGCAGTGGGGAATTTTCCGCAATGGGCGAAAGCCTTACGGAGCATATTAATATTTTCAATTAAATAAAGTTTTCAACTAAATAAAAAACAAATAAAAAAACAACAAATAACTCTCAAGACGGAAGTCGTCCTATAGACCAAAACCCAGTGCCTTACCACTTGGCCACACCCCATTTAGAATGTCCCAATATCAGAGTACGTGTATATTAACGTTTTCAATCTTGAAGGTAACCTGTGTTTCATTTATTGGTCACAGGATAGGATGAAGTATAAAATGTGGACTTCCAGGGACTTTGCCGAGCATGTGTGGGTTCCTAAACCTTTAGTTTCGACCTGCTGCACCCACCACTGAGGTTTCTGTGGCCTGTTGTGCTTCGTCGCGGAAAACTTCTGCTCCAGGTGAATGACGAAGTTCAAAGGTTGGAGTACTATGATCCCCAGAGTAAAGTGTTTGATCCTGTCATGTGTATTGCGAAGGACGTGGCTTTCTACAATGAGCAGAACTGCGGTCTTCATGTGACTTTGATGAGAGGGCCGCACTCGTAGTAGTGAATTGTGTTGAGAGCTTGGTGCTGATTAGGCCCAGAAGCTTAAGCTGGAGATAGATCTCATAATTCCTTTCTTCTCCCATGATTTTTTTTGCCTTGTTCAGATGTGGCAAAGAACATAGTTGGCTTCTTTTACATATGTTATTTAGGCTTCTTGAAATTGTATTTTTTTAGACCAAAATATTGTGCTTGGTCATATTCCATTTCTATTTCCTTTCTTTCATTTTCTAATTTGGTAGACGAGTTTATTTTTATTTTTATTTTTGGTCTGAAGACTGCTATTGTCTTTTATATTGAGAAATACGTGAAAAGATTACAGATAGAGGATTATCTCTTGCTTTTTTTTTTTTCCTTTTTTCTCTTAATTTAAAGTTCAGAGATCAGGTGCAAAAGACATCATGTGCATCTTACTTGTTACGCGGACATGGCATTATGTATCATGCTTAAAAGGAGCATCTATATAGTATTCCCAAATTCGAAGCGTAAATGTAATTAACATAATTTATTGTTTAATACTTTGTATAATTGTGAGACGCAGATTTCATTCAACAGCGGAACGAGGCCATTAAGGTGTCAACTGATTCTCATTGACTCGTGCAATTTTTGTGGTAAGTTGTTCACTGATGAGAATTGTTAGTCACTGATGATATTATGACGGCGTATGCATTTTATCTATTTGGATGTAGAATCCATTGTCAGGAGCAAAATTAGCTCTTTTAAATCATCGTCGAAGTTGTTCATTGATGAGAATTGTCAGCCACTGATGATTTAATAGTTAGGACAGTGTATGCGTTTTATCTATTTGGATGCCAAATCCATTGTCAGATGCAAATATAGATCAAGTTTTAAAATTATCGTCGAAGTTGTTCATCGATGAGAATTATCAGTTACTGATGATTTTATAGTGAGAATAGTATATGCAAAATCCATTGTCCGGTGCAAAAATAGCTCAAATTTTATACTTGCTTTCTAACCTTAATGCTAGCACCAGTGTTTAGTTCATAAAATGTATACAAGTGATATTCTCAGTTTTTTTCCTTCTGTGATGTATTTGTTCAGTTTGCTCACAGATTTGTAATGCACACTAAAAAGTTGCCAGGTTTGTAATGAAGACTGAAATTTGTGATATCGAGTGTGATCGGATGCACTTCTTTACTGAAAATTATTCAACTGACCTGTGGCTCAATAATATATTCTGATGCAACTTCTATGATTGTTCAATTTAAGCTCTTAAATATTGGAAAATAGTAAATCATCTAGTTATAGCTGTGATCTTATATTTTCATTGTTCGGTTAGTAATACTGTATTAAAATATTAGTGACTGAAAAAAAATACTTCCAATTTTTAATCTTCTAGCTTTTGTATCAGTTTTCCTTTTCAATCAAACGCTCAATTCGCAACGAATTATAAATAAATATTTAAATAATGCATTTGAAATGTATTATCTGCGGTAAATAATTCATACATAATGTCAACATTTATTGGCACCTTATATTCATTTCTTTTCGGCTAAATAGCACTTAATTAATTACCTTATAGTTATCCCTTAGCACTAATATACTTTCAATTGTTTTCCATAGCAGTTATATACCTTAAGTCACTACCACATATTTGCTCTAACGCAACAATTCTAGTGCAACGCTTATGACCGTTACGCTAGGTATCTGTGGGGGTGGTTTTGCAATGCTTTAACAACGGTTTACAAAAACCGTTTCGCTAGGCCCAATAATTTTGATTTGGGCCGATTTTATAGGCTGGTTTGGGCTTAACACTGAAACTAAATCTCATTTTTTTCTCTCCGCTTTACCAAATATCCCTCTTTCTCTCTCTCTCAAATCATCACCCCTTTCTAAAATATCTCCCTCTTCGTTCGCTCTGGGAGATCGCCATGGCCGAAATTCGTCGATCTCATCGCTGAACTCGTCGCTAATCTCTTCACCGTTTTCCGATCTCATCGTCTCCGATCTCAACTCTGATTTCGTCGTCGATCTCGTAACTAATCTCTTCGTCGAGCTGCTGGTCTCGTCTCCGATCTCATCTGCGATATAGGTCGTCGAGCTCGCAGCTAATCCGTCTCCGATCTCACTCTCCTTTGGACTCTCAGGTACCTCGTTCCTTTTATTTCTGATTTCTACAGTTTCTTCCCCTTTCTATTAGGGAAATTGTTTAGTTGTTGATGGCCTTTTGTGTGCTAGATCAGTTTATCTCGCAGTAGCTTGCACAATCAACAGTCGCTTACAGTTTCTTCCCCTTTCTATTAGGGAAACTGATCTAGCAGTAGCTTGCTAGATCAGTTTATCTCGCAGTAGAATTGATGGCCTTTTGTGTGCCATGTTCTAACATTGACCATTTCTCGCAGGCACAAGACGAGATTACATATTGGACAGCTAGTGAAAGATACATCAGCAAAGCTTAAACAAGCTAGTGAAAACGATCACCGTGTTGAAGTTAACGTGAGTCTTTTACAACAAACTCCTTTCAGTAACGATTTTTTTTTTTTTGTATTTTGCTTTTAGCGTTTTTGCAGTGCTTTGAGAACTCTGTCCTCAGTATTTTACAACAAACTTGTATTAGTCATGCATTATCTGCTAATTCACCGACAGCCAGAGTGAGAGATTGTGCCCTGAATTGATTTTGTTGGGTTCGAGGATCAGTTTGGGTCTAGGTCGTATATCCGGGTTTTGCTAGACCGCACTTCATACCTTTTTGAGTTTGTTGGTTCTGTTTCTATTAGACACAAACTGTGCTCTTGGTACACCTGGAGTGAAACTTGACTTGGTTTATGGAATATGGATACACGTAGTATGTAAAGATGTTGGGTTTATTTGTTTGTTTGGATGTCCTGAGAGGCAAACTGTGTGCCGAAATATTTTTCACGGGCAATGAAGCATATAAGCACGAAACATGACACATAATGACACACAACAGATCCTTAAAGCAATGAAGCATATAAACTGTTGCTAGTTTCATTCATGTTTTTGTTAATCCTTCCACTCATGCAATGTTGTGTTCATAAATTTCTTTACTTTCACTACTAATGTGAAAGTAATTACACATTTAAAGTAAAGTACTGCAGGCTTTTTCTCTACTTGTTTACACTTCTCAAGTAAATTTTCTCGATTAGGGCTCTGTTGTACATGTTGTCACGGGGAAAGAGGGAAACATGGGCTCTTGCAGGAGTTCACCTCTTTACTCCAACTTGTAATTTATTCACGCAGAAGAAGAAAAAGAAAAGGATGATATGGCTAAGGTTTTTTTATAATAATTTTTATACTTGAGGAGCTTTGGAAGGTGAAGCTGGATTTTCTGAGATGACACTTTTAGATCAGAGTACCTAACCAGAGCAGAGCAGTGCATTGAACTCATAGTTTGGAAGTTCTCTCGACTTTAAGATATTATTCTTATAGCAATGTACCATGACTATGCTTCTAACTGTTGAAGTGTTGAATGCACTTATGTCTTTAGTAGTTATTATATTATTATTTTGTAGGATATTCACAACAATGAAGTATCAATTGCATGCCACCTTTTAATATAAAGTCCTCAGTTTGGACTTCTCACTTGTATTTTTTTTATAATCTTCAGAATAGTACGGTTGTAGCATATATGACTTGCAATGTAATTGTTAATAGTGTTAATCACAATAATGTTGATTGAATATATCGTTATTAATGGCAACAAGAGGATTGATTTTTACCTTTCATTAATCACAATATTTATATGTAGTTATTAATAGTGTTAATCATTAAGAGTGAGTGTGGAGTTCATTAATAATGTCAAAGAGAGCATTTGCTAATGGAGCAGTAGGGGATGAAATATGTTGCCCTTGTCGCATTTGTTGTAATCGTTTTTGGTATAGTCGTGATGTTGTTTATGATCACCTTATTGTCAAAGGATTTGTAGAGAATTATTATGATTAGTCGTGATGTTGTTTATGATCACCTTATTGTCAAAGGATTTGTAGAGAATTATTATGATTGGTTCTTTTACGGAGAGGATGTGTCATCAAGGATGGATGTTGATGACGGTAATGAAGAAGCTGATGATGTTGCTGATGATGCTCAAGACAACCTGGATGAGTTATTGCATGATGTATTTAGAGATGTAGCAGAAGAGTCTCCAGTGAACCAAGAAGATGGCCTAAGTGACCATGGAGAAAGGTTAACTAAGGAGGCAAAGAAGTTTTATAAGTTAGTTGATGAAGGTAAGCAGGAGTTGTTTCCGGGATGTAATACTTTTTCTAAACTCTCTTTTATCATCCGGTTGTATCTTCACAAGTGCATCCATGGCCTAAGCAACGAGGCATTTGATGATTATCTAGCTATATGGAGAGAGGCAATTCCTGAAATAAATCTACCAAAGTCTTATTATGAGGCCAAAAGAATTGTGAAGGATTTGGGCCTTGATTACAAGAAGATACATGCTTGCCCTAATGATTGCATGCTTTACCGTGGAGAAGATGGAAAAAAAAGTTGCTTGCAGTAAATGTGGTGAAAGTAGATGGAAGGCAAATAAGCAGGGTGTTTCAGCCAAGGTTTTAAGGTATTTTTCTTTAAAACCTAGAGTTCAAAGACTATTCATGTGTTCTCAGACTGCTGAATCCATGAGCTGGCATGCAAAAGAGCGCCTCCAGGATGGGAATCTAAGGCACCTAGCATATGGCAAAGCATGGAAGGATTTTGATTCCAATCATCCTGATTTTGCACTAGACCCTCGTAATGTGAGGCTGGGCTGTAAATGTGGTGAAAGTAGATGAAAGGCAAATAAGCAGGGTGTTTCAGCCAAGGTTTTAAGGTATTTTTCTTTAAAACCTAGAGTTCAAAGACTATTCATGTGTTCTCAGACTGCTGAATCCATGAGCTGGCATGCAAAAGACCGCCTCCAGGATGGGAATCTAAGGCACCCAGCAGATGACAAAGCATGAAAGAATTTTGATTCCAATCATCCTGATTTTGCACAAGACCCTCATAATGTGAGGCTAGGCTTGGCTAGTTTTCGCATAGCACATGGCCGGTGATCTTGATAAATTATAATTTACCATCCTGGATGTCTCTAAAGCCAGAATATTTCATGTTGTCTTTGCTTATTCCAGGGCCTCAGTCCCCTGGGAATAATATCGATGTTTACTTGCAACCATTGATTGTTGACTTGAAAGAGTTATGGGAAGTCGGGTTGCTTACTTATGATGCTTCAAGTAAACAACCATTTTATGTTCGTGCAGCTTTACTTTGGACTATAAGCGACTTTCCAGCATTTGCAATGTTGTCCGGATGGAGTACTAAAGGGAAGTTGGCTTGTCCTTGCTGCAACTATGACACTTGTTCACAATATTTAAAATACAGTAGGAAAATGTGTTACATGGGTCATCGTCGATTTTTGAGTGATAATCATCCATGGCGGTTAAATAGAAGAAACTTTAATGGCCATGTTGAGTTAGGAAAAGAACCTGAATCATTATCTGGGATAGAGATTATGGAGGAATTGCGTGGCTTTGTTAATGACTTCGGGAAGAAACAGAAGAAAAAAATAGAAAAGGGCTGTCCATGGAAAAAAAGGTCAATATTTTTTGATTTGTCTTATTGGGAGCAGAATACATGTCGGCACTTGCTAGATTTAATGCACATAGAGAAGAATGTGTGTGATAATATAATTGGGACATTATTAGATATTCCTGAAAAGACGAAGGATCATGTCAGAGCTCGTTTTGATTTGCAGCATATGGGCATAAGAAGAGATCTACACCCAACCAAGTCAGCTGATGGTCGGCATTTTACATTCGCTAAAGCATGCTTTTCGATGACGATGGAGGAGAAAAAGATATTTTGTGGTGTGTTAAAAAATGCTAAAATGTTGCATGGTTGTGCATCAAATATCTTGAGGTGTGTCAATGTTAATGGGAAAAAATATCAGGGTATAAGACACGATGCTCATTTTCTCATGCAGTATTTGCTTTCAGTTGCTCTGAGAAGAACTATGCCTAGACGTGTTTCTATTCCATTAATCAGATTAGGGGCTTTCTTCAAGGGCTTATGTAGCAAAGTTCATAATTTAAATGATCTTTATAAATTGCAGACAGAAATTGTGGAGATACTTTGTCAACTGGAGAAAATATTTTTACCTAGCTTTTTTGATATTATGGTGCATTTGCCAATTCATTTAGTTCAATAAATTTTGGATTGTGGGTCAGTTAACTATTGTTGGATGTATCCAGTAGAGAGATATCTTAATAGATTAAAGTCATATGTTCGCAATAGAAGTGCTCCTGAAGGTTCCATAGCTCAGGTTTGGTGATTGCTCATTGGTATAGTTTCTGTTGTATTTATAAACATATCATCAAATTTTATACTAACTTTGCACTTAATTCATGATAATTCATGTTAATTATAGTTTTATTGTAGGGATGAGGTGGCTATGATCAGCCATTGTCGTCGAGAAAATCAAGATGCGATCACAGGTAGCCTTTTAGTTTTTTCATATTTAAAGATTTCCTCTTAAAGTTATGATATGTTGATTTGTTGAGATTTTATTTTAGTTTTAGGGAAATCATATTGATGTGGTTATAGGATTTGATTCAATCAGACCGTACAAACGAGGAAAACTTGCTAGGAGTATAATTTGAGTGGATACACTTTTGAATAAGATTAATAAGCATAACATGATGGAGAAATGAACATGCAAATCTTATTTGGGAAAAGCAATCCTACATGTAGTTAAATCAGAAACTGAACATATTAACATATATAATTGGCATTCACTTTAAACTTTTAAACTTCATAAAATAGGCATGTTCCAAATCAGGTTTGAAGCATTATAAGTTAGGAGCTTAACTTGCCAGTTAACGTCATTTGATCAACCCGTGGTAACCTTTCAGCTTAAGCACTTTCCCTCCTTACTGTTAACTTACCTATTAGTTCCTCAGCCTACAAGAGAATTCCAATCATTATCTGCCTCAGCTCATCGGTAGTTAATTTAATGCCACAAAATAATTCATGACATCAGCTTTTAGACCTCTTCATCTAAAATTACTGGTTGCTACTCCTGGTTTTCAAACATACCATGAGTCACATGCAACACAGTCCCAATGAGTACAATCAGTAATGCTTTCAAGTCAATGCTGATTTAGGGCCTTTATTCTGTCATTATCATTCTCCAGCTACCTGTGTAATTTCATTGGTCGTGTATCTTCCCAGTTTCTGCCTTTGACAACAATCTATAATCTATTATGATTAACCTCCAGGGAGCTTCAGCTCATGAAATGATACTGTAATTACAATTAGCAGGACCTTTGTATGTTATACTTGCATGTGTTATGTCAAGACCAGTCCTGCCTGCAGTAAATGAATCTCAAAGAATCACAGTTGGTTTGACATATAGCTGTATAGTTCAGAATTTCACAGATTCCAGGAATCAGATAAGATTCGCTTTACTTGGTTGTTTATAGTTTTTCTTATCCTTCCATTTATTCAGAATTTGAAATGGATTAGGCTTAGGAATCATTGGATTGCTTTGCTTTATTTTCAATATACCTAAACAAGAAATCAGGCATAACCACCAGCATTGAAAATTTGAGATATTCGATGACCACTTTGAATCTGTGACTGTCAACCTAATCCCCTCTATAGAATATTTGTCCCTCTTCTATTCTTTTCACTTCTAATTCCTGCCTTTTCTACCACAAAAAAGGACAAACCTTTGTGTATCTCTACGAGTGTCATATTTGACACATCAAAAATAAATATTATTCACTTTATGATACTGGTAAACGGCAGCAATGAAACTCTAATGAATATTCCTGAGAGCCAATACCATAAGCATGGCATTTTTCAAGTACGAATAATCATAACAGGGAAATGGTCGGGGTTAGATAGACTAACCTTGAGTGAAGGATATAGACAATAATCCAATTTGTAAAATTATATTAATGGGTAATGACAACAAACAATCCATTTTAACAGATAAAGTCAAATATAAGTTATCTTAAAAAGGCTTCACTAGAATCCTACCAGTAAGAGTTGAGTTTGGGTCCTATCAATTGAAGTACATGTTACAATTTCAAAACTAAACTCGTTTTAGATATGATCTATGATAATAAGCCTAAAAAGAAAATATCATGTCATTTTAGGTTTTTTTTAGCCCATGAATTTAACATCCTATAAACTGAACAGCTTGAAGTAGCATTTGATCAAAAAAATTACAAGTATTTAAAGCACATATATAAAGTATATGCTTAAAAAATTATGATTCATTGCTCAGGTTAATGGCGAAGAAGGTTTCCCAGAAATGATAAAAGCCATGTCTGGTAACAATTTAACTCTACAAGTCAGGTAACAAATTTCATTATTTGCATTACATCTTCTACTTCATATCTAAAGCAAAATACTTTATTTTGGTAACATGTTCAGTATTTGCAGAAATCTTTTAGAAACCGTGCTTTGCACGGGGCTAAATACTAGTAAACAATAATATATGAACCCATTGATAAATAATATTCATCATACAATATGAGGCCAAATGGTTAGCTTATATTTATATAGTAGAGGAGATGCTGAAAAATTAAAGCATCATATTTTGAATGAGTCTCAAGATTTTGAATTATTTCCTAAAATTATATACTTCGCTTAAAAAACTTTAGAAGAGGCTTCTGAAGGACTACTACAAAGGGTTGGATATCAGATAAATATTAAACAAATAAAATTCATGATATCAGATTGTAAAATTCAGGGATGTCTATGTAATATTGGGTGTCATATGAGATAATATTCATACATAACATGACATTGTAATATGTAATCTAACATATTAATGAATTTTAAATATAATAATTTACATCAAGAAATATGCTTAAGATTTGGGAGAGCCGAGAGTGGAGAGATTTGGGGAAGAATTATGGCCTTTGTGGGTTTTGTAGGTTCCAATTTTATTTCCCAAACACGATCCAAACTCGAGTCCACAATCAAATTAAAAATGACATGATTTTCTCAATATCTTCAAATAGATATATTGGCCATATTTTTTATAACGGTCGATGTATCAAAAAAATCACCAAACAAAAAAAAAACAATAGGAAATATTACTGAGATAAAGTCTTTAACCCGATATATTGGCCGATATAGCAATATATCGGTAAATATTTCATAGGATACCTATAAGAGCAAATATGTAAAGGTTAGTTCCTTGATTTTAAATATACAATGATTTTATGTTATTCCCTGAAATGTTTTAAATTGCTCATAATTTAGGGACTAATATTAAATTATTAAAAAATTTTGATTTTGTTTGACATTGGATAGATATGAATTATTTTGTTAAAATACAATCAACATGAGTGCATAATATGTATAAATTTTTCTCAGACTATATTTATAATTTTCTAAAACTAGAGAGTAATCATTTTGATAGATCAATTAGTAGTTGGGAAGATGTAAAAAGAGCAACATATTTTAAAATTGATCATATAATTTATATTTTCTTTCTTGATTGAATTTGCACATTATAACTTAGAGAATTCTAGAAAAAAGTTCTTGAATATCTATAATACTCGGTCGCCTAATAAACAATAGGTGGAAGTGATTTTTTCATAACCGAACAAAATCCTTACTAACTAGATAAAGCCTATCATTTTTCTTTGATGAATTCAAGAATTTATTTTTTTTATTAATAATTATAGGGTTTTTTCGTATTGGTCCCTTACATCATTAATATTTTAAAATTATACATTCAAATTAGTAATTAATCTTAAATCGTTAATATTTTAAGGTTTTAAACATCACTATTTTTTTGGAAGACAAAAATGTTAAAACCACACATGGAAATATCCAAAAAAATAATATATTATGATATTTATAAAGTTTTTTGTAACCATATTATAGTAAATAAATAAACCTGAAAAATAATTATGATATTTGCTCACGTGCAGTGCACGTGCATTCCACCTAGTAAGTACTAAATGAGTAAAACTATAAAGAATTGAAGTGATTAAGGCTTTATATTTTCCTAAGGGCTTGTTTGGATTGTGGGGAATGAGGGTGAAGGGAAGTTAGGGGAACCATTCACCTTCATTCACCTTGTTTGGGAATACTTAGGAGGTGAAGTTAATTCACCCTAGTTCCCCTTGGTTCACCCCCTAATAGTATAAAATTTGTTACCCCCAAATTGGGGTGTAACCAAGGAGAAGAGAACTCTCTTCCCTTCTCTCAGTTTCCCTTAACTTCCCTTCACCTCCTACAAATCCAAACAGGTCCTAAGTAAATTTCTAAATTTTTATACATCCATTGAAGGATCTAGAACATTAAAAAACATTCGAAAACACAGAACAAAACAAGAACACGAAAACAAAAACTCCCAAATCATTCCATCAGGGGAAAAAATCCCAAGTCAAATGAGAGAGAGAGAGAGAGAGGCGAGAGATCATGGTTTCCAAGAATCTGAGAGACGATGAGTATCTTCTCTACGTTGCCATTTGCATGGTGGGTTTGCCCGTCGAGGTTCAGGTCAAGGACTGATCTTCATACTCTGGGATCCTTCACACTGTCTCCTTTGATGAGAATCATGGTAAATTTAATTTGGTTCTTGTCATTTGAGTGGAGATCTCAACTGGGATTGGCTTCTCTTTCTTGGATCCTCCTTTTTCGGAAATGGGTTTTGGTTGAGTGGAGATCTCAACTGGGATTGGCTTCTCTTTCTTGGATCCTCCTTTTTCGGAAATGGGTTTTGGTCATTTGGGAAATTTCGTTATTATGACTGCTGTGTTGAATGTAATTTCACCGATTGCAGTATGAATTCGATGCATTGTATGTTCTTTTTTTTAATGATTCCCTTGCCCTGAATTGGTTATTTATTTCATTAACATTGAGGCCAACTTCTTATTTGCAACAGTATGTGTTCATTTGCATCATTTTGTTTGTTAGCTCCATCACCTAGCAGTTGGGCATCCAATTTCATGTGGTCATTTGATAACCCATTTTCCATTTTTATTCACGGCATACTTGGGGCTAATTAAGGCTCAATACAGGCGCAAGCCCAAAATTTGAACGGCCATTTTTATTCACGGCATACTTGGGGCTAATTAAGGCTCAATACAGGCGCAAGCCCAAAATTTGAACGGAAATCTAACCAGATTAGTTTTATGTGGCTAATTAAGGCTCAATACAGGCGCAAGCCCAAAATTTGAACGGAAATCTAACCAGATTAGTTTTATGTGGCAGTACGTCTATACATATTTAAACAACACCACAACACCCCCTCCCCCCTTTTTGGGTTAATTTCATGCTTTGTGCATTGTTTAATTGATCTCTATTGCTGCGAATTTTCGCAAATCCTTTGGTTTTTTTGTTTTCATGTCTGTTGTTGCTTATTTATGATGACTGGAAAACATGTAACCGGATTGTGACACATGTGATAGATTTAAAACTATAATATAGTTCTGAACTTCATTTTTTTTTCGTAATGTTAGGTATTGTCTTGAAGAAAGCAAGAAAGATTGGGAATGGAAAGGATGAAAGAAATTTTCCAGTAGGATGTACTGTAGACACTCTTGTTGTGTTTTTAATTGACCTCGTTCAAGTTGTTGTGAAGGTAATTCAGAGACCTTGTGCACATTGGAATATAGAGATATTGTGCACATTGGAATGTTTTCTTAAAATTACCTTATCATGTTGTGCCTTTAATTTCCAGGATTTTCTACTTCCAGCAGAGGGGATGTCTACCAGTGCTGCGTCTGATGCAATTGCATCTGGAACCATCTCAGTTTCAGAAAAAGCATCGGAGCAGTCGGTATCTTCTGATAGTTCTCCCTCGGGGTATTGAATCTTTTTTCTTAATATGGTATCAGTCTATAATGAAAACAAGAGATGTGACTTTCAATAAGTTCTGCTCTTTGATAATTTATTTCCTCTTTACTCTGCTGGCAGTCAGGTTGGGGATGATATGCCAAAGGGAGAAGGAACTTCTTGCAATCGTGTTGACGAGGCTTCTGAAACAAAGCAAGTATGTCTATCAAGCATAACTTGATTTATTATCTGAATAAATATTTTGTTATGGTTCTCATCCAAATGATTGGACATTTATGTTGTAGCTTCATTTATTCAACTGATTCTGTGCTTTCTGCAGATAGAATGTAAAGTTCATCCTATGCCTCCTAGCAGTAAGTTAATTTGCATCTGGAGAACTTCATTTCTTGCTTGTGTAGTCAGAACACATTTATTCTTTTGATAAAGCTAAAATTTCTTGCATATCTTTTGCATTAAGCAGATGTTTATTCTCTTCAGCTGGACTTTGTTGATGATACTCATACTGCGAATGTATCAAATGAGCCCAGCAAGCCAGATTATCAGCCGGAGAGCATATCTACCAATTCAAGGGATTATCCCTCACTAGATACCCAAGCTTCAGCTGTTTGCCGTCATTCTTCTTCGGTTTCAAATAGTAGAACCTCTTCATGCACCGGTCTTTCAACATCGCCTAACGTGTCATATTCCCAAAACAACTCATCTTGCAAACCAACAAAGGTGAGAACCATTTTCTTAAAATTCCATGGCGGGAGACTATGCTGTTAATAGTAGCATAAATCAAAGGCAATGTGCGTTTGGGATCAACTGATCATATATAGTAGCTTATAAATCCTACCATCATAACCTTCCTACCTCTGTTTCTTCTTTGTACGCATTTCATAATGCATATGCTAATAATATGCAGGAATTCAAACTCAACCTGGAGCAAAAGTTTTCTCTCCGATGTCTGCTAATGCTAGATTGTCACCTACATCTGTACCAACCAAGACAAATGCAGGCTATATAACAAGTTACCCTCCTGCAATCCCAATTGCTGCTGTACAATCCGGAGTTCAAAGCTAAAACACTGCAGCCTGCTTCACTTTGGGGAGCGTGTTTCTCTTTTGGCAAATTGAGAGCACGTTACTGGTTTAATTGCCAAAAATAAGTTAGTGACGAAAATAGAAAGGTAAAGATGAGGTGGAAAAACCATTTTGTTATTTGTTTTTATTTGAAATCAGATCACGTTTAAAACCACTCCCTCATCTCTCCGGGGAGCTAGAAATAGTTGCCCTGAGAGCTAATCATCAGCCGCCCGTTGTAGTTGGTGTCTTGCTAGTAATGGAAACGCACATAACAAATCAGGGTGAGCTATCCGCAGAATGAATGCTGTTTTATATATATTATATATATATATATAGTATATATATATATAATATATATATATATATAATATATATATTATATATATATTAATAAACAACCTAAAAATAAACATAGAAAGTGGGGGCTTGGAAGCAATTCTCCATTCCCGCGTTAATGGTTAAAAATCGCAC